CAACTGGGTTGGGGGACCAGTTGAGTGGGTGGGCCCAGCCGACTGCTCTTGACCACGTGTCATGGAAGTTCATTACCTCCACCCAAACAAAGGGTGTGGATTTCGCGTTACCACATGGTGACCCAGAAAATGTAAGGTAGCAGACACAAAAACTTGTTTTTGTTTTGTTGAATTTTTGTTGGGAGACTAATTCTTGTTTTCTTTAACTAAAATTCATGGAAACTGAAAACTTCTTTTAAATATTAAAAGGTCAAACGTTAGGTACAATTAAGACTCTCTCATAGATAAAACTGACCCATACCTCAGAATAACTGAATAATTCAGGGCATTTTATTTCACATCATCTCTATAATCAACAAGGGTTAGTGGTCCTGCTAAAGCTTTGAAGGGTCATTAGGGCCCAGCCATTTTCAGATAATTTTCGCATTAGTTTTTATGTAATTTTTCTACTTAATTAAAGAGATTCTCTGCACTTGGCAAATAGGCTAATTGACCAAAGTAAAAATAAAATAAATATATATATCGGCACGCGCATGACCGCGATTTGAGAAATTAGTGTATTTTATGAATGAGCACCATAGATGAAAGGAACTCTTAACGTATGGAGGACTAAAAGTCCCTTGATGAATAAATCTCATCGTGACATTTGGAGGGATTGTAATTTGTAGATTGCATTTCTTCAAGAATTAATTACCTCCACAAACTATATGCCGGCATGAGAGAACTAACTGCAAGCTGGATCCACCGTCCATGGACCACGACATTTGCTGGCCCTTGGATTTATTAATTAGAGTCGGAAACTAGTAATTAAATAAACAAACTGCTAATCCAGTCTGATCCAGCCGGTGCTTCTTGACCTAACAGTATTGTTGTGATTTCACAAAATATACATAATGTTAATTAATTTATTAATTATGCTTCTGTGCAGGTTTAATAATCTACCTAATCTCCCATGCTGAATTATAATTTATTATTTTAATTTGGATTGGTGATATTTATGTACTGCAAAGCTTGAGTTCTGGTTTTGATGCTGACTCTCACCCACTCGACACCTTTGGGTCTGCATGGCCCCATCCCTCCATGCGGGTGGGAGACTTCAAATTTCGCGTTCTCTTCATATTTTATTCTTGCTAGGTTAAATTTGTTTTCTATGTATAGTACTATATATATTATGATAGTTTGGACACCAATTACAAAATAAATTAATTACTCTTATAAAATAAATGTAGAGCCGAGTTAAATTCATTACAACTAGTCTATTGGCACATGCTCACGGGTGTGCCAATTGGGATTTTTTTTTTAATGAGTTATATAATATCTATTTTTCTAATGAGTTAAATGTAGTTTGAAGGTAATTGTGTCGTGTTTTTATGAATATTTTTTTATTCACTTTAATTTATCGTAGCTTTGATATCAGAGGTCTTGACAAAGGACAAAACTTTTGTTAGTAAATGAGCATCTAACTCAAAGTCGCATTTGGTAACCGATGAAGAGGTCTAATTTTCTTTAAAAAATTTAAAAGTTTTCCAAGCTAGGTATGGTTTTAAAATAGGCAAAATGTGGAGAAATTGTCTGCAAAATGGAAAACAATATAATTAATGGAATTGGTAAACATCTTGATCATTTCCCAGGTACAATTGTTTGTATCTATCCCATTCATGCAACTTGCAACCCCCATTCAAGTCAATTACCTAGTCAAAGAAACCACCATTCTAGGCAAGTTAGTCAACAAACAAAAATCGCCAATGTCGTACTTTTAACATTCTTGTACGAGACAATCTCATGATGAATTCCACGTTAAAATTGCAAAACTTTTTAGAGCTCATGGCTGCCTCATCAAATTTTGTTGAGGCGCACTTTAGTAAAAAGTAGAGAAACGAAGGAAGACCTCTTACATATTTGGATGTTGTCTTTTATCGGAAACAATCCGTCAACACATCCCATCAAATGTTTGATCTGTCTTTTGCATCCCTCACGTTAATTTAGTGAACTCAAATAAGAAAAAACGTGACCCATTCCCAAAATTTCCAACCATGCATGATGGCACGTGTTATGGCTCTAGAAGCAGGACACGTATATTCTTCATTTCATCCCAGAACTTTCTTTTCTTTTCTAAAAGATAAAGGAAACAAACAAAAAAAGATTCAACTTTCAAGGACGGTGTGCATAATTAAGAAGGCATCATCGGCCAAATGATGCACAAATTTCATATCATCCATCGTCACCAACCATGTTTCGAACATCCGAAAAGGTAAAGGAAGAACCCGAGAGAGATCGTTGTTCCCTTATATTAGAAAAATATTTGAAGGATTGGTAACCCATAATTAGTGACAAATTATTTCCCTTAAGAAAATGCTTGTTACAATTCGTTTGATCATGTACGTGTAAGTGATTGTCAATTAAAATAAACCTCTTATAATAATAGTCTTTTTTGTAATCAACTAACTCTATTAAGACAAATATTTTGAATGGAAAGACGGTATTATTGATTTCTTTTTCAAGGCTATTTAATTGCTAGACACTTCCATTGTGCCTGATTAACAACTTAAGCTAGAACAATCTTCTCTAATCCATATCCAACTTGCCTACTGGCACAAACACATTAATTCTTGTCAAACTCCATAAGCTAACTCACGTTATGTTTCCTCTTTTGTTTGTGTGTATAATACATAACCACGTTCATATTAGGTCATAAGAAAAAGGAAGAAAAAAATGCATAATCAAAGGATATATATATATATATATATTGCTCAATCTCCAAGTTTCCCAAACCTCAACTTTTTCCGTTTTACTAAAAGGGGGAAGACAAAGATCAAATTATTTTCTTTTTAAGGTGGAAAAAAGTTATACCACTCTCCAAATGTTAAGAACTTATGGGTAGGATTTGTTCCTAAAAACTGGCTTATAAGAGAAGGGTGTTCATGAGCTCTTAAACCAATCTATAGGTCGCTCCTTCCACTCATTGGCAACATTGGCTCAGTTGCGTGGAATTGGGCCCAGTTGCGTACCAAACTTTAATATAAAATGTTAAGAACCCATGGGTAGAACTTGCCCCTAAATACCGGCTTGTAAGGAAAATGTATCCATGAACTCTTAAATCACTCTATAATATGCTATTTTTCCATTACAGGATCTTGAGTTCTAACACCAAATCCCACTTTAGGCTTTCGAAGTATTGAAAAAGAGGATATTTTTGCATGATATCATTGTTGGCAAATATTTTTTTTTGTCTCTTTACAAGTTAATTAGTTGATGGAAAAACTATGACTTACATTGCCTCTTCAGAATTGGGAAGCACCAAAATTTGCTTGGAATATCATGAAGAGGTAATTAAACTTTAGCTTATAAAGAAAGCATTAACAATCCTATTAACTTGAAGCAGCTAAAGGGTGCTTGCGAATGAGCAATTGAGCTAGCCGTACAGCTAGTTGGCCAAATAAAGCCATAAAGTCCCAAAAAAGTTGTTGCGTCTAATAATGATATCCTAGCAAAACCCCCCATTAATTTCAACTTAATTTTTTTTTGGTGGTGCAAAAGCAAAAGCGAAAAGCCATTTAAGACACCACCCCAAATTGAGGCGCGGAATGATTCTGTGCAAGATTCCCACTGCACTGCAGATACAAAACAAATGGGAAAGAATGGCATGGAGGTCTTCTTCTTCTTCCTTTTAAGCCTTTTGAAGTTTCCTATCACACACACACACACTTTGGCCTTCGCTTATTAAGAGTGATAACCTATCAAACACTACACGTACGTGTTGCGTTTGAGTCAAACTCCCAACTTGTTTAAATCCATTGGCTTGACAAAATATTCACACCATCGAAAGCCTGAAAGCTGCCTGCTCTTTGTATTATTATCCATTCATCACTTTTATTATTCAGCTTGAGCTTTCTGAACCCACCACGCAAAATTGCGTCCAAGATTTAAAATCTTTATAAATATCTTCTTATATGGAAATGATAATCACAGAATTATGAGTCACATTATATACCTTTCAACTGACATCAAGAAAGTCAAGATTCCTGTTTGGTGGCTGCCTGAAGCCTAACAAAAGTATATTCCAGAAAGTAACTATTGAATTTAACAGTCATTTCACACACAAAAAAGGTCACAAAACATGTATAAAATTATCAAATACTGAACCTTTGGGCTCTTCCCAGAAATGGAAAGCGATAATTTATTCTTCTTTTCTCTTTTGTCTTTTCTTCTGAGGAAGATTCTAAAAAAGATTGGATTTTTATGGTCAGAAATAATTAACTTGACAAATATAATTTAATGCGTTTTTCAGCTGATACCAGTGTGTTAGTTATCTTCACCAGTGGCATTTACTGGGTCAACCATCTGGAAAAATTAAAAAAAGCATTATTATAGAGTCGGAAGCCTCAGCAGAAATTTGTCTGCTGGAATTCGGAGAAGGCTGCCACTTCACCACTCTCTCTGTCTCAGAGCCAGGTGCCCTTTAATTTACTCTCTCAGTGAGAAACCATAAAAGCCCAGAAACGCAAAAATCCCACCAACTGCAATAATCCAAAAACTCTCTCTCTCTCTCTCTCTCTCTCATTGTCTTTCGCTTTCTCTCAGAGAAGCTTGACGCCAAATATTCTAATCTCTTTTGCATTACTGACTACTTTGTAGAGCCACCATCATCTTTGGCCTTTCGTGCTTGTTCTCCCTTGTTGGTTGTTCACCTGCTGTCTACATTTTCTTCTTTAAATTTATTATTTAAAGACACTATCTTTTTCTCGCGGCCTAGTTAAACAAAGAAGTTGCTTTCGTGTGTGTGTGTGTGTAACGCTCTCTTTGTGTTCAGTATTCTCAAAAACCTTTCCTGGGGAGGCGTTTTCGTTGAGTCTCTTCTGTTTTTTTTTCAGAGATTAAGAAAGGCGGGGGGCTTCTTTTTGAGATTACGAGGCAACTCATCAAAGATTCAGAAAGTCATTGAGTAAATAAACAATCTCATCGGATTTTTCCTATTAATTAAACCCAAAAAAAATAAAAAAATGCGTGTAAGTCTGTGATTTTACTCAGAATATAAACTGGGGAAGGTGTTTTTGCAAATGGGTTTCATTATTTTTCTCCAATCTAAGGCAACAATGGCTCTGTTTGACTACTGAGAGTGAGACGACCCACCATGGATCCGGAAAAGGGAATTTATAAAAATCATGTAAAGGTGCAATTTTTTCTCTGTTTTCATATTTATTTTTTGCATTGAAGAAAAACCCATTTCATTGTAGTAATCAAATTGTTGTTTTTTGGCCACAGAAAGAATCATGGAGAACAATTCTGACTCTGGCTTATCAGAGTCTTGGTGTTGTCTATGGGGATTTGAGCACTTCACCTTTGTACGTGTACAAGAGCACATTTGCTGAAGATATTGAACACTCAGAAACCAATGAAGAGATTTTTGGCGTCTTGTCCTTCGTATTCTGGACCCTCACCCTGGTTCCACTTCTCAAGTATGTGTTTATTGTGCTCAAAGCTGATGATAATGGCGAAGGAGGGACATTTGCTTTGTACTCGTTGCTGTGTCGTCACGCCAGAGTGAGTTCGTTGCCCAATTGCCAATTGGCTGATGAGGAGCTCTCTGATTACAAGAAGGAAAACACTGGCTCGTCACTACAATCAAGTTTCGGGACGAGGTTGAAGTCCGCTTTGGAGAGGCATAGGGTGTTGCAGAGATTTTTGCTTGTTCTGGCCTTGATTGGCACTTGCATGGTGATTGGTGATGGTGTCCTCACACCATCTATTTCTGGTAATTTTTGGTTTCTGTGCTTGTGGGTTTTGGATAAAAAGGTAAAATTTTGTGTCGTTTTGATAACTGGAACTTGCTTTAAATTGGTGCAGTATTTTCTGCGGTTTCAGGGCTGGAGTTTTCTGTGTCCGAAAAGCATCACAAATGTAAGATAGTTATTTTTATTTTTTCCCAAATCCCTTTTGGAACATTGGCTGTATGTTAAGAACTTGAAGATAATTGGAAAATTCTTGTTTAGTAGTTTTCAACCTGAATCTCCCTTCCTCTGAATTGCTGGGATTAAAGGCATAACTTCGTCCAATTTTTTCCAACTTGTTAAATCGCCAGCTTTTTTTCCTCTTTCCGGTGCAGCTCATCTTCACCAATCATAATTTCCTTCTATTTCAAAATAATTATGATCTTCTTCTTACTTTAATTGTCTTAGTTGTCATCCCCGAATTGCTCATAATTCAAGTACCTTCCATAAGTCATTGCAGATCTTTCTCAAGTTTGAAGTTCTGAAGTAACTACCACCACTACTGCTTTAGACTTGCATGTTGTGCTATTTGCACTTCCAGTCTAGTAAAATTTTCATGTCAATACAAAGCTTTGAAATTTGTTATGAAATGTGTTGTACTGTTGTTCTTTAACTTGACAAGTTTTGGTGTCTGCCTTCCATTAATCTCATTGGGTGATTGATTGGACAGTTTGATTTCACTCTTCTTATATAAAATAACATGGCTACTTTGCATTTATACTTCCTCCTCAAAGTTTGATAATTTTTTTTTGCAGATGTAGAAGTTCCAATTGCATGTATCATTCTGATAGGCCTGTTTGCACTTCAACATTATGGAACTCATAGGGTTGGGTTCTTGTTTGCTCCTATAGTTCTAACATGGCTTCTGTGCATTAGTGCAATTGGTCTTTATAATATACTTCACTTCAATCCGAGTGTGTACAAAGCACTTTCTCCACACTATATGTACAAATTTTTAAAGAAAACTCAGAAGGGAGGCTGGATGTCTCTGGGTGGAATCTTGTTGTGTATAACAGGTAAGTATGTATGGAAAGGATTGACTTGCATACGTATGCCGTGACAAGCAAAGTGGTTTGCCTGTTTTTCTAATACACTTGCTAACTTTTCCAGGTTCAGAAGCCATGTTTGCTGATCTTGGACACTTTTCACAATTGTCAATCAAGGTACATTATTTAGACAGCTCAAAACTATAATGCAATTTGATTATGAATTAATTTAGCATGGCTTTTTATAACTCATATTATCCAGAAATGGAGTTTATATGGTAGTATTGATAATGCATTTGTATAATTGTGGTTCAGTTGGTCTGTGATAGTTAGTGTCTACTTCGCATATTAGTGTTGTATTTGTATGATGGAGACTTTAATTTTGTGCCTCATCTCAATGAGGCTGTTTTTTATGATAAATATTTTGGAAATTAGGAAAAGATAAACATTGCACCTGCAGAGTTTATATCCTGTTGCAGTTTAGTGCCTTTTCTAAGTATTCCTCATAGACATGTGCAGCTGTTATCATATTTGGGTGCAAAGCAGATACAACAGAAGTGGTTCTTTTGAATTGGTAAATTAGAAGTCCGGCCATCTTTTCATAGTAAATTCTGTTAAAGCAACACATCATGACTAGTCAAGGCAAAGCTAATCTTGGGGTTTCCTTCTTGCTATGTCATGTATCAGCTCTGTTTTACTTTCCAAGAGGAGAATCTTGGCCTGCTTGATTTTTCTCCCGGAAAAGAAGAATAAATTTTCTACACTTTCTTTTTTAGTGATTTTGTTTTGATTGTCCAAGATATGCGACATTTTTCAAGAATATTTTCTTAAAAGTTATACCAGATAAGAGTGCAGCTTAGAACTATGGCACTCATTTGTGCTCTTATTCATCCTGGTACCGTTATCAAAACGACCACTTTGTCTAATAGATGTTCACATTTTTTTGCAGATTGCTTTCACCTCTTTGGTTTATCCAGCTTTGATTTTAGCATACATGGGACAAGCTGCCTATATATCTTCACATCACACTATTGGAAGTAATCCTAAGATTGGATTTTACGTATCTGTACCAGGTTATCTTGATTTTTTTTATTTATAGCAGGAAGTTTCTAGATTTGAAAAATATGCAACTTCTTAGCTAATCTGACACCCCACCACTACTTCTCAGAGAAATTGAGATGGCCTGTTCTGGTAATAGCTGTACTTGCTGCCGTAGTAGGAAGCCAGGCTATCATCACTGGAACATTCTCAATCATCAAGCAATGTTCTTCTCTGGATTGCTTCCCAAAAGTCAAAATAGTCCATACATCATCCAAAATCCATGGTCAAATTTATATCCCCGAAATCAATTGGATCTTGATGGTGTTATGTTTGGCTGTTACTATTGGTTTCAGAGACATAACGCGTATGGGTAATGCTTCAGGTATGAAATTATTCACAAATTAGTAAACCAATGAATGCTTGATATTTCCTGTTACTTTGCTCCATAAACTTTCTTGATCTCACAAATTAGCTACTGTCTTAGCCACAGCCTTAATCATGTTTTTATTGGATGTATGATAATAACCAGGCACATCCTTAAGCATATTTTACTGATCATCTATTTCATGCTTAGTACAGGCTGCTGCATCTATTAGCTGGATTAATCATTTAGTTATCCCACATATGATGATGCTTGCATTCCAGTTAAATTTATTTAACCCAAAACTTTTATGTGGAACAGGTTTTGCAGTTATCTCTGTGATGCTGGTCACCACCTGCTTAATGTCCCTAGTTATTGTCCTATGCTGGCAGCAGAGTGTCTTTGTTGCAATTTGCTTTGTGATCTTTTTTGGCACAATCGAAGCTCTTTACTTCTCGGCTTCTCTTGTCAAGTTCACTGAAGGAGCCTGGGTTCCTGTTGCTCTTGCTCTCTGTTTCTTTATTGTTATGTATGTTTGGCACTATGGCTCAATCAAAAGGTATGAGTTTGAATTACAAAACAAGGTCTCCATTAACTGGTTGCTCAGCCTTGGTCCCAGCCTTGGAATTGTACGAGTTCGTGGGATTGGCCTCATACACACTGACCTTGTATCTGGAATTCCTGCAATCTTCTCCCACTTTGTGACCAACCTTCCAGCCTTTCACCAGGTCCTAGTTTTCCTCTGCATCAAATCTGTCCCAGTTCCCCATGTTAGACCTGAGGAACGGTTTCTAGTGGGCCAAATTGGCCCTAAAGAGTACCGACTCTATAGGTGCATTGTGAGATATGGATATCGTGATGTTCACAAAGATGATGTGGAATTTGAGAATGATCTCATGTGTAGTATAGCAGAGTTCATACGCTCAGGAAGCCCTGAGTCCAATGTTACAAGTGAAGATTTGGGGAAGGAAGACGATAAAATGACAGTTGTTGGGACACGTTCTACTCATGCAGATGGGATTCAGATGAGTGAGCATAGCACTGAAATGAACGAATCAGTGCAAAGAGAAATAAGGTCACCACCCCCGACCCAACGAAGGAAGAAGGTAAGATTCATCGTTCCAGAGAGTCCGAAGATCAACACGGGTACAAGGGAGGAATTGCAGGAGCTAATGGAAGCTAGGGAAGCCGGCATTGCATACATACTTGGGAACACATACATGAATGCGAAGAAAGGATCTAGTTGGATGAGGAGGTTTGCAATCGACTACGGATATGAATTCTTGAGGAGGAATAGCAGGACATCCAGCTATGCACTGAGCGTACCACATGCATCTACTCTGGAGGTGGGCATGATCTACCATATTTGATTTTGATTATACCAAAATTATAATGTAAATTGTACATCTTTTTTAAGTTGTGCAATAGTTGAAAGCCGATGCATTATATATAGTGGTTGAAAAAAAGATATCCCAGCAATTTAGTCACTTTCTCGATACACGGGGCTTGTTCATCATCCTCCTTTTTGGGTTTGTGAGAGGATAAAGAACTTGTGTAGCTTTCTTTTTTTTCTTTTTTATTATATATTTCCTTTGGATTGAGAGAAGGGACTTGTTCAATAGGATTGTCAAAATAGTAGCATACTATAGATTCCTCAAGTTCCTGTACATATCTCTTTCTTCTTACCCTGTTCTTGAATTTATTTCTTGTACAAATGAGGCATCATCAATCTTTCTATCTAAATATTGCGCACCAATTGGAACACAAATGTTCAAAAGCTATTGATGGGCTAGAGGCTCTTTTGTAAGGGGGTTCGTTTTGGGTTGGGCTCTGTGAAGAGAATTAGGCCCTCACTCTTTTCAAAACCAGAAGTTAACCATAAGTTTGGACATTGACCAAAAAAAACCCAACAACGAGCAACTTTGAATTGGAGATGGGTTTGTGAACAGGTTTGCTCTTTGGAGGGTTGTTGAAACTTGAAATAGAATAGTTGGGCTTTTAAAAAATAATAATAATAATAATTTATAAACACATTCGATATTGGGAGAAGGGAATTCGAACATAAGACCTAAAGTAAATTACAAGAATAACTATTGTTAACCACTTGAGATAGAAATCTCTTGCTTATTTTTTATCTTTTAAGTCTATCAATATCCGAATTTGAAACTTCGTTGAACACAATTGAAAATACAACTTAAACTCACAGGTAGCTGGTTGGCATCAATAGTTAAACTAAAAGTTTATTGAAATGAGAAGGAAGTACACATTAAAAGCTAGTGATGTATACTTCTCCCACGCAATGTCCTCAATTCATTTTTCATGATGGCCTTCAACATTGTTGATTGCCATAACTTCATCATTCTGTCGAGAAGTTTAGCATTTGTGAAACTTCTGATGGCATAGCATTTTGTAATATAGACCAGAAGCTTCAAATGCACGCAATGTAACCAAAAAAAAAATAAATAAAAGAGAAGAGAAGAGAGAACAGTTGTGGATAAACCTGAAAATCACAACTCACAACTCACGCGTAACAACCCCTTTATTTATTTATATTTAATAAAATGCAGCATTATCCGACAATAAAAAAAGAGTATGTACGCAACCCCTCCTCTCTCTCTCTCTCTCTCTCTCTCTCTCTCTCTCTCTCTACCATCCATACCAAAAAATTTGCAATCTCAAAAACAAAGAGTCGTCTTCTCTTCTCTTCCTCCCTCCCCCCTTCCCCTTATTATTCTTAAAACAAATGCTTTTTAGAACGCAATAGCGTGAAAGACACGTATGGAACATTCACCATTGGAAGAGAGACCCTGGTTAGTGGGTCGCATGGGCCAACGGTGTGAGTCCCTTTGGATTAGGGCGAGGCGAGCGGACCCCACCAAGCCTACTACCCCTCGCTTGCCTGCCCTTTTATACATCCCCACGAAACGCAGCGTCTGGATAAACTCGGGCCCACCCGGAGCATCCCCCAATGAGGGATTTCCAATTGTTTGACTTAAAGGTCACGTGATACCCGCGTGTCACGAGCGTGCTCGTTGTCGGTTCCCAAGAGGGGTTGGCTGATGTGAACGGCTCGGATGGTGGTGAGGGTGGGCCCCACGCGAGTTAGGTCGTCGTAGTGGTCGTCGCTTGAGTGATTCCACGTGTCAGGGCGTCCGTACTCAGGTCTTAGTGGGGGGGACGAGGAAAATTGTAAGTGGAGAAAAGTTGGATAAATCCTTGTCTGCTCGATTTTATCCATTTTTTATTTTGAAACCCAAACCGGCCCTAGTCTGTGAAACTAGAGTACCTCGTCTTTGATATAATTACGTGCTGGCCATTACTCTTGCTACGCAATTTACTTCGTATTAAATGGTTTTAGCATAACCATTATTAGTGCGCATTCTCTTTTTCAAAATTACATTCAAAGGAAAGCATTTCGTTAGGACTACTCGATCGTCTACTCCCATTATCCCATGGCAAACGTGTATTTTAACTAATTTTTTTATTCGTTTAGTGATATTTCTTTTTAACAAAATTAAAATTATAAAGAGTTTCTAAGTTTAATTCTCTCTTTTTCTAAGATTTAAAAATTTTAATATGCAAGACGCTTGTAGCTCAAGTGATTAAGAGCATTTATCCATATATTTGAGGTCTTAGATTTAATTTCACCCTCCTCAATATCGTTTGTATATTAAAAATAGTAATATTATAGTATGCAATGTCATTTATCATGCCCAAATAACCATGGGCCACAACCACATTAGCTCCCCTGCTTCCATGCTTGTAACATATATTTGTTAAAATTTTGAATATACTTGTGTTTGCTAACATAAGAGAATCTCCAATAGTCTCTCTAACAGTTTTAGAATGTTAAAATATGTGAGCCATATCATCAAAATCATCTCCAACAGCCTTGTCAAACTCAATCATCAAAATTGCAACATCTTTCTCTCTCTCTATGACTGGTAAGTTGACATTGGCTTTTCAAAACATTTCATTCTACTTTGGAAAAATAAAAACTAGAAAATGTTAAAAACATGAATTTTTTATTTTCAAACACTAAATACATAGACATTTTTCACATGTTTTCGTATTTTTCATTATTTTCCATAACATTCCATTAATTGAATTGAAAATTCTATTGAAGCATAAATTATTAAAGTAGCAAACAAAACTTTTCAAATTGCCAGATAAGTCAACAAACTTCAATTTGAAAAGTTTAGTTTGCTCCTAATGTTGGAGATGCTCTAAGAGCAGCTTGTCTGTAAAAGTCTCTTTTTATATTCAAACATCATTAGTAAGAGAAAATAGACTTAATTATTGATATTCCTTTTGAAACTATATTTCAGTCTCACTTTGTCATTTGAAATTCGAAATGACTCACTTTACTCTCTAAAGTCTAATTATATATCTCACCTTATTATGTCAACTCCGTAAATAAAATAAAAAGTTAAATCATGTGTGGCATAGTGAGTCCCACCAATTAGTTTGATAGTAGATGATGAATTTTGTGAAGGATACTTCTTGCCTCATTTTTTGGAAGGAGATACTCCTTCATGCAAATCATAGTTTGATACATTTACAAAAATAATACATAAAAAAACGCATACACAAAATTGAGATATTTAGTCATATGCCCATTCTTAGCACTAATAATATAGATAAACCCTAAACCATTTAATTTCTATAAACAAACCCAAAAAAAAAATAATAACCAAAAAATGACAGCTAGCCTTATTTAAATTACTTTGATGCCCTATTTGAGTGTTTTTGGTATTTTTATGAAGTTTTGGGATTGGGCTTATTTTAAGAAATTGATGGCAGTTTTGTAATTTATAAGAAGTTAAAAGCCTATTGGTTATGTTGTAAATGAGCTTTGGGTGTGTTTCTAAAGTCCATTTCATATATGTTTTTTTTTATATAATTTGGGTTCCTATATTGGGTATAATAGTGAATCTCCCAAAAAAATTTATACACACATATTATATTGCCATTAATTGGAATGTATGACCTCTTATTTATAGAGGAACGAGAGCAATCTTGTTCAGAAGTGAAAAGAGTGATGGTAATTTGGGAAAAGACCAGGTAATGTGTGCCATTAATGTTATTCGAACGCGGAATGCCAGTTGGGAAAGAGGTGGCCTAAGTCACACTTGCCGAGTCAAGCTTTTTTTTGGGAGCCACACTCAATATCCATCTTTCAAACAAAAAAACAATAAGAAAAATTAAAAATTAAAAAATGCAATGCAAAAAAGCATATAAAGCTCAGATAAAAAAAACCAACTTAATAGTACGACTTCACAGTTCACAGTTCATAGGTTCTTGGGGACCTCAATGCGAAGTCGCAAACCAGCTGTCATTTATTAATGCATAGTTCATCTCGTCCACTTTTAATAAATTTTTAATTGATTAATTAATTAATTAATTATAAAAGGGCAATGATTGTGAGTCAGTTACCTTTGTCAATAGGAGCATTTCCACCCACTTGCCATGGCAAGGCAATAGCTATTACTATTCACGTGAATAGTGGTAGCCCTTGTAATTCACATGAGATATTATAAGAGGAATTTGTACAAAGTTTTGGTGTGGGAAGTGAAGAATATGACTAAGTATTTATTTAAAAAAATTCTGAATTTTTTAGTATTTTTAAAGATTTTTTTTTAAAAAATTTCATTGATGATGTCAGCAAACCCAGGCAACAGGGTTGTTCTTGCATTTGGGCGTGCCCAGGCTTGTGGAGCCCACCAGCTGCCCTGGTTGCATTTACCTGTTGGAACCTCTACCTGGGGCTTGGGCCCTTTCCTGTCGGGCCACAGCTAACTGTTGGAAGTAGGGTTGGGCACGTTACGGGATCACATGGGATGGAGGTCATCCTGGTGTCAATCCTGAATAGAGGAATCGGGATGGGATGACACAGAATGAGAGTTTTTGAAAACACATTCAAACCATACCAAACCCAAATGGGACCGATATGATTCGGTATCAATGTTAAAAATTTATTTATTTAGCTATTTACTTTTGGTAAATGAAAAGGAAACTAATTGAAGAAAATATAAAGAAAAATAAAAAGCAAAGTTTGGGTCAAATGCATATCAGTTTCTTTCAAATATATCGTTAGCAAATATGTAAGCTTGAGAGAGAACTACATGCAGTTGCAGTTACTGTTTTGGGTTAGGGCTTTCCTTTTCCACAAGTTTGAAGAAGAACAGAGAGAGAGTGAGAGAGAGAGAGAGAGAGAGAGAGAGAGAGAGAGAGATGAGGAGGAGGAGAAGAAGATGAGATCGATCGATGGTGGAGGATTTGGGAATTACGGCTTCAAATCATGATTGAGAACGGGGAAGAGAAGAGAAGAATAGATAGAGGGAAGGAAAGGAAATGATGGAGGAGAAACAAAGCTGAGTCGAAACTTCTGTGGGAGAGAAAGGATAAACTGAAATTAAATTAGGATTATTATTTACATGTACTATTTGGTACAGTATAGCACCAAACGCGATCACAAATCTGAAACCGTTGTCGTGCCAAACAGTAACGGGATAACACGGTATCATCCCGTTTACACGTCAACACCAAATGGGACGACATGAGATTGGCACGGTTTCGGGATAATTTCGGTATTTCGGTTTTGATGCCCACCCCTAGCTGGAAGTGCTCTAAAATCTTCTTCATTGTACACTATACACCGTATAGCAAAGGCATCTTCTTCTTAGGCTCCGTTTGGTTTACGAAATGAATTTGAGGAGAAATTACTTCTCATGTCATTTTCTAAGGAATGAGAAATGGAAGATTCTTTTTTCACATTTGGTAATGCCGGGAAAGTAACGGAGAGATATTACTTTATTTCATTTCGCATGTTTGATTTGAGTAGGAATGAGACAAAATAATCATGAAAAATGTGCATTTAATGTTGGCTCATTTTCCCAAACTTTCTTATGATGAGGGAAAATAAAACCCAAATTGAGAGGAGGGGCTTCACTTTTTTCCCCTTACTTTCTCATATGCCAAGTAACCATTTTCCATGCCTGAACTTACCAAACATAGAAAAATAATTAATTTTCCATTCACAAACCTAACGAGGCTTTAGGAGATATTCCTTTTTGTTCCCCGTTAAAGCTAATACATATTTTATTTATTTGTTTGGTTCGGTTTTGAATTGGATAAATGATAAATCAGAAACGACTGGGCTGGATATTATCACGTTTTTTTTAATAGAAATTAGGATAAAAAATTATTTGTCTGATTAAAGATTTAAAGGTGAGTTGAAGCATCTTTTGACTTTATTATTGGATAACACTCGTGCTATCCAATAATTATCTGTATAATTTATAATTTATGGAAAAATATCACAAAATAGAAACACTTCACTAATAAATTCCAAGTTAGCATAATAGCATGCATGACAAGCTAATTATACACACACACAAAAAAGGTACGTAACTCCTTTGTGTTTTGTACAAGATTTTCCCTTTTTATTTTATCCTTGCATATGGGGTTGTTTTATCTGTGATCTCTCCATTTCTAATATTGCTTCAAACACAAATAAATTAAGGAAATTGAGGTAATAAGATTCTAGTTAAGGTGTTAAGTGTGGTTGTAAAAGCACACTAGAGTTTGAATCCCTCGTCTTTTAAAGTTGTTATTACAACCCCACAAATGTTAATTTATTATAGACGTTGAATTAGAATAATTTAGACTATCATTTATCTACTTAAATTTAAAATTAAAATAAGTGACCCTTATAATTAGAGTTAAGCTAGCTACGATGGCCAAAGTCGAGGCCGCGCCTAGGGCACGGCCACTGTTCAAGGCGGATGGACGGCAAAGGCATCCTGACTAAAAATCAATCCAAAAAGAATATTATAATAAATTAAGAGTGTAGAGGTATGCCATGAATTGCAAGGATGTTTTGCACGGAGTACATTTTTTCAGATTTATAAGTTCAAAAGGATGTTTTGACATTAATATTGATATTTTGTTGTTAGGGGGAAGTGCATGAATCTCACAAGGTTAATTGAACATCGCAAGGGCCTTTTCATGTGCAAGATTATCACCACCCAGTCACAAATGTCGTCGCTAATGGCGTGCGTAGAAATACAGAGTGGTGCTGAGTTCTTTGTTTTATTTTATTACTTGGTTGAGGATAACGATGCAATTGGATGAGGTGGGACATGGTCAGATTAAAAAAACAACTCAAGGAAATTTGACCTAAACTTTGCTAAACAATTGGTATTAAAAAAAAAAATGTACGGCCATAAAATTAAA